TCCAAAGCCAAAGCCGAGATCCTCGTCAAGAAAAGCCACTCAATGCCTCTCAATAAGGATGACACTCTCTTCGGTCGAAGCTAAGGTCCTTAGCTAAGACCTCCACCACGACCTCGAGAGTGGGGGGAAAATGATGTAGGCGTGCACACACGTGGCGGATGGTAGTGCGCAGGATGGACCCAATGAGGGCGTGTGCAGAGCAGAGGTTGGTGTGCAGTCTGAAACCAATGCCTCTGCCGCACACGGCGGCCCCAGATGACCGTGCTCCTCAGGGCCGGGCCACATCCTGGCCGTCCATGCCCGCCTACCTCCAAGCAACCTCAAGTATAAATAGGGGCAACCTTCTCAAGGTAGACATCTGAAAAACTGGAACTGAGTATCAAGAACAAGAACTTGAGAACTCTTAGTCTCCTTTGTTGCCTCATCTGAGTGTTCACACCTCAGGCCTCGTCCACCTTGCACTACCCTCGTACTAACTTGATTGTCAGAGTCTTCGCCTCAAGTACCAACCCCAGCCACTCCGGGCCTCGAACTACTCAACCACACCTTGGCTTGGAAGCGAATTGACAATATTTCCCACGGCCCATTTTGCCCGGCAACAATAGGTATTTTCATAATTTTACCATTCATCGTAACATAGTTCAATAAATTTGAGCTTAAATGTATATTTCTACAAGTTAAAGCATTAAAGTAAGACTACCCCAAAGTATAGTATACCTGTTGCAATTTATCCCATAAAGATAAAACCATGGGGCCAATTCGTTGTAGCTCAATTGGTAAGTTTTTTTGCTAGTTGCAGAAGAGATTTGGGATTAATACCGTTGTCACTAGGGTGCCGATGACCTTTCTAGGTCCTGGTTAAATAACGGTTTTGATGATTTGAATGGGCTAACTACTTGATTAGCTGGTAGAATCATGATCCAATGAGCATTTTAGTTTTACGTCTGACAAGTAGGGGTGGATTCGAGTTGGTCCGAGCCAAATACTGCTATTCGAGTTTGGCTTGCAGTAATATTATTAGGCTCGAGCTCAGCTCGTTTTATAGCTTGCAAGTTTGAGTTCGACTATAAATCAAGTTTTTTTTTTGAAAAATAAAAATTATATGTATAATTTTTTATATTTTTTAAACAAAAAAAATTAAGAATTATAAAAATTAGTTAATATTAAATATACAAAAATAATTATAAAAATTATTTACTATTATACATAAAAAATAAAAATATTATTATATATAATAAAATTATTTATTTTGATACTAGGTACGTGAGCCGAACTTTATTGAGTTCGAGCTCAACTCGATTAGCAAATGAACCTATATATCAGGCTCGAATTCGGCTCAAAGCTCGATTTAAGCTGAACTTTTCACGAGCCGAGCTCATAAAAGGCTCGTCTCATGGACCCCTATGGACAACCATGATAAAGTCAATATATTTGGGTTTCACGAGCCTATATACTAGTTTTGACGACAAGTAAAGATATCCTCCCAACAAAAACTATCCCAACGTGGTTCTAACAGAATCGTGTCTTCATATCTCACATTAAAGACTTGGACCCACCACGCATGATATATGTAGTGTCCCACACGTATGATGTTGGAATACGTTGGAACAGATTTTGTTGGTAGGAGACCCACACTCTTTGACAGCTCTTGCCTTATAATCATAGGTTTAGAATCTCCTCTCAAGAAAAACTCTCCCAACACAGTTCTAACATGATCTGTGTCCACAGATCTCATTTGAGATGTGTAATGGAATGTACAGACATAGATCATGTTGGGATGAATTTAAGACCTCTATGTTTTCATCTCCTTTTTTAAATGTTTATCTCAATCTTGTTTATGTTTTACGTTCTAGGGAGATACCTAGGGGTGTTTATTGTGGTTGGTGGTTTTGGTTTAATTTCTTAGACTTTATAAACGGTAAATCACACATAATATAATTATAAACAAATAGTGTATAAATATTATATATAATATAATATATCAAAATTGAATGTATAAAATTATAAATATATAATAAAATCTTTTATTTTATAATAAAATAATAATATAAAAGTTTTAGGTTTTAATTTTTAAGGGCGCTATTTGGGCTTTCTAATTGGGTTAAGCCCAATAGAATCAAAGAATGATCCAAACTTCCCTAAACTATATTAGAAACCACATCAAACCCTAATAATTTAATAAAACGGTTTGGTTTTGTTTGAAAATTTCTCAAATCATAATTTACTAATTTGGTTTGAGATCTTCTCTAAACCACACTGAATCGGACCATGAATGCCCCTAGAGATACAATAGGATTCTAATTCAACTTCTATATAGAAGCTGAATTGACAACAACAACAAAAATCAATTGAGCACAAAAATCCTTTTTAATAGAAAATGCATGAAGTAGATAGCATATTATTTCTTGTAAGAAAAAATTAAAATTTTATTCCATAAAAATAACTTAATCCAAGGAAAATCACAGGGTCGGAAGATATCTATAGATACCAATTGGGTGGTGCGATCTGTTTCAGATCTCTGAATGATGTGATAGGGCTTTGACCTAGAGGTGTAATGTGGGTCATGTCATACTCATTTTGCAAGTCAAACGTACTATAGCGGGCCATGCCATGCCAGCATGTGGGCCTGGACAGGCCATGCCTACCCGGCCCAAAACCCCTTAAAAGTAAAGTTCGACACATCCCGCAACATGAACCCAGGTGGGCCCATGCCATGCACAGGGTATTATCTATTGACTTGGTCCTATATTCCTACTTTTCTATATTGTATTATCTATTGACTTCAATATGTAACTGAGGTTTTATTTGATAAATGACTTAATAGAATGGCTCATGCGATGCACAGGGTATTGAACAGTTGGAAATGCTGAAGGTTGAGCATTTTTTTTCTGAACCATAAGACTTGTATTGGGGAGGGCTCCATTTGATACTTCTCCAAATCCTGGAATCACTCGGAACAACTGGATTAGCGGCAGGGAAAATATGTACATAATATTTGAATGGATGACTAGATCGATTTAATATTTGTTTGGAAAATCTTTTCATTCCTAGATTTCCATATTATATATCCACAAAGTATGACACAATAGTAATAGGTTTCTTTTGTTCAGAATTTTTAACAAATGACTTACCCATTGCCGTACGTAGTCCTGTTCAGCACCTGGATTAATATCCACATATGCTCAAATATTTCTACTGACATCACAGTTTGTAAATAAATGCTTTAAATCCTCAGGTTCCTGATTACATATTTCTGGTTTTGAATGATATTTCTACGATAAAGTTGAGCAGATGTTGGAAGTTTGCCTTGAATTAGCAACCACATAAAAAATAATGTTGAATCCTATAAGAACAAGGTAGTTTCCAATTTCGATAAAGAAAGTAGGCCTGTTGGCCATATTTATGAGCCAAGAGAACTACTTCATAGGCTGATTTAACTGTTAGTCAACCCCCAAATCCACTTGTCTTCTATGCCACTTTCCTGATCTGGTTTCTTAAGAGGGATTGCTCTAATCATATGGTCAATTCTAGTGGATAGAAGAGATTCAACTTTAGTCAGATTCCATATTCCATTATCAATTCACTATATGATTGATTTATATGGTCGTATGGTTAAGAGATGTTGAAATATTAACAAAAATTGTAAACTTAAATTCCAAAAAAAAAGAAAAAAAGAAAAGCAAAATTTTTTTTTGTATGGCTAGTAATGGCTTCTTTGTGCTTATTGAACCAATAGTTGAATGAGGCTGCAAATTGAGAATACTTGTGCACTTGCATTCATTTTGTAAAAACATGTGTAAAAAAATGACCCTTTTTGCCTCCTACCATGCAACCTCAGACAGAAGATTTGTCATAGGTTGGAATAAAAAAAATGAAGGGATATAATCGGAAATATAAGAGTAATTCTAATTTTCATATATGGTTAATTGATTAATAGAAATAAAATAATATATGAGAATGGGACAAACAAGCATTTGCAGGGATAATATTGGAAAAGCAAAATTAGGGTGTTCGCTTCGACCATTCTGCTCATGGGTAATAGAAATTGGTTTGTTATCCTTTAAAAATAAAAAATATATGTCAGCACCTGAATCCCACCCAAATGAGGAATTGGAATTGGAATAAAAATTCTTTAGAATCAAAATTTTATGGCCTATTCCCATAGTTTATTTGGTTTAGACGAGAATAAGAATATGAATTAGAATCAATAGGAATGGAATTTTATTATGAAAGGACGGGTAAAAAATGACCATTTCATCAAATGGGGAAATGCCATTCCAACGAGAATGAAATTTCGATTCCGTCAAATCAAATAATTAGAATCAGAGTAACCCATTCCAATTCCGATTCCAGACCCCTATTCCTGTTAATCAAAAGGGGCCTCGTGTTATACCCACTTAATCTAAACCCGACCTTAAAATTTAACTGAAATTATCCGAACCCAAACCTGGGCGAATTTAACTTTTAACCATATACATTCACATCCCTTAGAGGCTTAGACCCACCTTCAATTCAACCCACTGAGATGATGTCTTTGGGAGCAGCTTTCAGCTTTGGGCTTTTCTCTCCACAATTCAATTAAATAATCTGGGGTCCACCTATACATTATACATACGTTACCACATTTCCTTCAAATAATTGCCGTTAATTCAAACCGAAAGAAATCTCAAAACCCAAAACCCGGGAAAAATAATGCTTTATTCACACGCAGGTCCCTAGTCCCTACGCCGGTACGCCCTAACCAGCCGGGACCCACAAATGGCCGCGTTGTCCCAGCTAAGAGCCAGATCAGTTCCAACGGAAGAAATAATAATACGGTAATATGGATCCTATGGTTACGATTATTTTAATCAGGAGATGGTCGAGAGAGTTGAAAGGCACGTATTACGTGGGCCCGGCAATGCGTGTTGCGCGAGGGGCGTAATGTAGCGGGAAGAGAAAGTGAAAAGAAAAAAACGGTTAGTTGGCCCGCGCAGGCGACGTGTAGACCTCACCTCTTACATTGCTGAACGCTCGTCTCTGGGCTCGCCCTAAAGACTCGCTCTGTCTCTCCTCCTTTTCTCTTTCGTTGTCTCCTCCCTAAAACAAACATTTCTTTCCTGGTCTATTCCTTTTCTTTTTCTTTTTGTTCCCTCTTCTTGCCTCTCTTCTCTCTCATCTCTCGTCATTCTCCCCCGTTTCCGATCTCTGGAACTCGAAGCCCCTGCGATCATGTCGTCGGTAAGGTTTTCTTTCACATGCTTCTCCAATTAAACTAGTTTTGGGTTCTCCCCTTTTCGTTTTATGATTTATCTGTTGTTAACGAAGTGATTTAGAGGATCTGTGGGATGGGAAGAATCAATTAGCTTCATGGATGATATATTGTGGAATCTATTGTTTAAACTTCTGATCATTAAGAGAAGATCAGGGGGTTTTGAACAAATGGTTATCTGGTCTTGAAAAGAGAAAACTTGGAGGTATATGGTTTTCAGTTACGAGATGAAACTCAGATTAGGAGGAAGCATTACGTGAAAAATTATTAAGTTGTCCGAACTGTTCAATTGCCATGCTTTTGTGGAATACTGTTTGGTGTATAACGCTCTTTTTTCCTCTTTCTTTGTGAATTGATTGATTGATTGATGTTTTTCTTTGTAAACAAGGTAATAATTTATCCTTTGTATGGAATTGGCAGGTATCGTATTTATTTCCAATAACTTTCCATGCTCATTTTCAACAAATGACAACAAGCTCCAGAGAAACATTCTGTTTTGTTAGAAGAACAAGTATTCTGATTCAATGTTTTTCTTTTTTTCTGCATATGAAAGAAATTGTCCTTTTAGAAAGTATCAATTATTAACAAGTAACAACTAAAAATGATAACATTACCAATGTTATGGTAAATGGGAGGCTTCGGCCCAAACCTCAATTTCGTGTTCAGATTAGATTAATAAAAAAAAAAAAAAAGAAAATCGTTCAGATTGATCAAATTGGATATGTTTATATGATGCATGCAGAGTACTCTGTTCTTTCCATTGACCACAAATAGTCTGGATTAAGGCTGAGATGAGTTGAATTGGGTTGAGAGAGTACTCTGTTCCTTTGCAGTAACATAGTGTGCTGTGCATTTTAATGAATTGTGTTAATACTGATAAGCCATTAATGTTGAATTCTATTATTTTCTAGCATTTCTTTCTATTGAGATGGTCGTTTCTGCTGGTGTTTAGTTGTTGTTCAGTTGCAGCTGAATGACTTGTTGCTCTGTTTGTTTTTTAGTGGATAAAGTAATTAAATAATAATCTTGAAGATACCCTGTCAGCCCAACTCAGCTTCAGCCTTCAGCCATCAAGGACTTCACAACCTCGTTAATAACTTGTTCAGTAAAAGACAGAGCAATAAATCATTCAGTTAAGTTGGGCCATTTTCAGCCATTGTCAAACTAAACCTAGCTTCTGATTGCAGCATGACAAGGGTCGGCCGTTGCCCAAGTTTGGCGAGTGGGATGTGAATAATCCTGCATCAGCCGAAGGATTTACAGTGATATTTAACAAGGCGAGAGATGAGAAGAAGAGCAGCGCGATCGCTGGGGGTGGAGTTACCGGAGTATCATCACCACAAAGGAACGACGACAAGGAAGATAATCGGATACCCACAAAGGTATTCCCTAATATTAATAATAATGATAGATTAATGGTTGTTGCATTTTCTTCTCTGAAAATTCTTGCCATCTCCAACATGTTTCTTGTAAATTGGATGCAGAAAAGATGGTTTTGCTGTGGGTGAATCAAGACTACCTACCTTTGGGAGCCCTGAGATTTCTTCAACATGATTTTGTGTGGTGGTACAAATACTTGAGTCCATTCCAAATGCCTCTAGCAAACTGATGGAACACAAAATATGTTGTGATTATTAATTATAAAAAATATAATATATATTTTTTTCATCTAAATGAGCCAATTCTATTATATTTATGAAGTATTAAACATCGAGAATATCCATTCCAGCCGTTTGATTGGGCGGAATGTCAATAGGCGATTTCAGAGGATTTCAATTTTGATTCCGATCCCAATTCTGACTGCAAACCAAACGGAGGACCCTTGTCATATATAAAGTGTTTGTCTGGTAAAAAATTTACATGGAAGTCCATATTATCAAATGCCATCAGCGATCAAGTGAAAAAACATAATAACCAAAATTCCATTCTGGAGGAATCACTGAACCATTGAACAAGGTGTGTACGTATAAAATTTTGTAATGTCATCCTCTCTCTTAGCAATAACAGCTCGCAGGAATCAAACCAACAGAGAAAGTGAGAAACCGAAACTTCCATAAGTAAAAATGCACAAACTAAATTCCAAATCCTTTTGTCCTGTTTGTTACAATTTACAATTCCTAAAACAATATTTCTTAACAGGGAATAGACAGTTGGATCCCTCAGAATAAACCAGCAAAAGAAAAAGAAAAAAAAAAAAAAAAGATGTATGTGCAAATGCAATACAAGAGGAAAGTGAGTTCAAACAAGTAGATGAAGCCTATGGAATAACTAAGAAACAGAAACCAACCAGCAATGCCCAGCCTTTTCAGGAAAAATCGGTTTCATTCTCATTTTCCTTGGCAACCTTTAAAAAGTAAAACCGTGAACAAGGCATTATACAAAAAGTAGGTGCAAATCAACATTTTCAAACAAACTCAACTGAAGTCTGAATGGAATTAATTTTTACACAACACGGCAACCCAAAATACCTTATTTTAATTTTTACACAATATTCCTGATGTTGGGTCTACGACCCATCATTTGTAGCATTCCTAATGGTTGTTTGTATAGCCTCTATAATGCGACTCCGTGTTGGGATATAATATTTGAATTTCCCTTTATTTTATTGTTGTTAGAGAATCAAACCATATGTACTAATCACTATGCACAAAGCAGTAATACCAGCATCAACGCCTAAAGTCCCAGACCACTAGTTGTAGTTTGTAGAGAGGAAATGGGACCATTCTAATTCCTGACTGACAATTTTATTTGCCTTGAAGAGGATTTCATTTTAGGTGGACTGAGGGCCATTCTCATTCTGTTTCGGATCCAAACAAATGAACAATTTCTCTGGTTGAGGTATATTAACTTGCCAAATGAAGTCCCACAAAACAGATTCGAGGTGTCTTTTTTTTGGGTAAGGGGGAGGGGTAGAAATTAAATAAAAATGGAAGAGAAGTTGCAGAGATATTCTCTGATTCTAACCATCTCTACTTCTACCAATGGAACAACAGTTCAATTAGTGATGCCATTTTACAACACTTAATTACAACCCTCCTCACCCTCTTACCTATCCTTTACCTTTCTTCACTGAGTGGCCTGTCTTCCGCTTGTGACGGCTAAAATCAGACACAAATCGGAATGTTTGACCACAACCTGGCTCGCGACACACATAGGGCCGGGCACCAGTGTGCACCCTTATGTGCTCAGTCCTTGCCCATGCCCACTTGAATGTCATCTTGCAACCCTTCCATGGGCATTTTAGGGGGCGGTCATCCATGTGGACACGCCTGTGCTGCACTAGATACTTGTGGGAGAAGAATTTCTTTCCACAACCCTTCACTGAGCAGATGTTACGCTTGTGCAACACCAGCTCCTGCTTTGAGCTAAACCCCATAGAGCACCCTTCTATATCACATTGGTATTCTGCTTCCTCATCCTTGGTATCTACTTCATTGCTACTTGAAGTTTCCTTGCCTTTTTTCTTCATTTGCTTCTCATTCATGGGTTTGACTTTCACTTCACAAGGCTTTTTTTGTGGTCTTTTCCTTAGACGCATGCTCAGTCCACCTTCAATGCCATCCTTTTTACAAGAGCACCCCTCTATATTACATAGGTAGTCTGCTTCCTCATCCTTGGTATCTACTTCATTGCTGCTTGAAGTTTTCTTGGACTTTTTCTTCGTTTGCTTCTCATGCATGGGTTTGACTTTCACTTCTTCATAAGGCTTTTTTTGTGGTCTTTTTCTTAGACGCATGCTCAGTCCACCTTCAATGTCATCCTTCTCACAAGAATCTTCCTCTCTGATGTCCTCACAATCATTATGATGTGGTGGTGTCTCATGTTTCATTTGTTCACTTCTGATAAGCCTACCACAAGGGGAAGGTGTATCCAGCTCTGGTGAGTCATCTATAGATGTGATGGGATTATCTCTTTGCAGACAATTCTGTTTCTTGATCATCCCCTTCTCAGATCTTTTCCTCTTCCGTCCAGGATTTTTAGCTACAGTGGTCATCGTTCCACGCAATGGTATCTTCTCTGGAAGCACTGGTTGTTCCTGTTGGCTAATGTCTACTTTCCTGTCAGGCTTCCTATTTGGCATTGTTTGAATTGGGAAGCTTCTTGTAAGTTCTTGTTCTTCGGATTCATCTGCTTGAGCTAAATATGGATGAACCTGGTTTGACATCCAAACCTTCCCACACCATCTTCCTGCAACAACAATCTTCTTCTGCTTGCCAGGCCTCTTCCCAGAATCCTTAGATCTTGTTGGGGAGATGTCTGGCGAACTCCGGCCAAATGCCTTGTATATGACCGAATTGTATGGCATCTGCTTGCTATAGAGAGGCGAGCGACTGATGGTGGCACTGTAATAGAGATTGATTCCAAGCTTTACAGCCCAGTCCCCATTACTGGGTATCACTTCATCATCATCCAGAGCTGATTGGATTCTCTGTTGATCTTCTTCAGTGGCCTCCCTGACTGGAACGTCTTTCCACAGATAATCAATTCCCAATTCTTCTGCCAATGATTTTGCTTCGGCTTCTATCTTCAGATACTCTGCAAGTGTAATTGCAGAAAAGAGAAAAGGAAACAGACTATTGAAGCAGTTCTCCCAATTTTTACAAAGATTTTTCAGTTAAGTAATTGAAACAAACAAAACACTTACCATCTGCAGCAGTAATAAGTTTTAATTTTTTTCACTAACATGATCAAAGAGAATTTATTGATAACATAGAGGTCCTGCCACTAAATAGTGGGATAAGCATACAAGAGAAAAAAACAAACAAAATTTAAGAACAGAAAAGAATAGGACAATGAATTGCAGAGCTATACCAGATTCAGTTGAGCACCTGGGCTAGGTACCCCCCCCCCAACCTTACTCCATCCTACCTGCCCCTTCCCTAACCAAAGCATCAGCAATAGAAAGAGTATTGACTGATCTTGGGATCCAGTAGAATGAGGTATTATTGGCTTTGGGTGGGACCCTAAAGAAGTGAAGACATCTTATGGGGTAAGTGTATGGAAAGGGATTATGAGCTTCCAGTCAGCTTAATCTTGTTTCCTTCAGAGTTGGTGATGAATCAACAATTACATTCTGGGAGGATGATTGGCTGGGTATTGGAAATCTGTGTGATCATTGCCCTTGCCTGTATAGATTGGGCATGAAGAATATCTCCGCTGCAAAGAATTTTGAGATTAATCAAGGTAGAGCAGTTTGGTGTCCAAAATTTAGGAGGCCTCTATTTGATTGGGACATTCAAGAGTGTGTAGATCTTCTAGCAAAGTTACATTCAGCTGAGACTCAAGTGGAAAGAAAAGATTCAAGATGGTGGAAAGAATCTAGAAATGGTTTGTTCTCAGTCAAATCCTTCTATCAGTCCCTCTCAAGGTCAAGTGGGGAAGATTCAGTGTTGAAAGGCATTTGGTGAAACCCTAAGATAGCTGATTGAGTACCATTTCTCCAAGTTCATTTGGGGCTTTTTCTTCAAGCTATTCAAAGCTGGTAGGTGGTCTCCCAATTCAATGGAGGAAATATTCTCTAAATGGCCTAAGTTAGCTGAAAATGACAAGGCAAAGCTTACTTGGAGCTGCATTCCTTTTGCAGTTCGCTGGGAACTTTGGAAGAAAAGGAATAGAAGAATTTTTTTATGGGAAAGTTCACTTAAGGGAACATATAACACTTTTATGTGGCAAACGAATCATGGACCAGATTCTTATTCTCCCAGAGTTGGAAGGAATTACAAAGGAAGATCTTGGTGCTGGATTTTGGAACACTTTGCAGTTGGCATGATTGTTTTTCTCCCTTTGTTTTTTGTATGAACTATGTTTCTTTCTTTGTGTTTTTTCCTCTCTTTATGCTTCCCTTTGTAGTTTTGTCTTCCAGTGACACCCTCATCACTTTCAGATGTATTTTTTTATATTAATAAATTATCTTATTACAAATATATATATAAGAGGAGAACTAGAGGACAACCAGACGATTACCATTTTGCCCACCTTCCACCATAATGTTGACCCACCCCGAAGAAGATGCAAACTTTTAACTTTGTAGCAGTACAAGTTTTACAATTTGTGCCTCACTTAATTTTGAGGAAGCTTTATTTAAGAATCTAACAAGAAAGACATTCACACGGAATCAGACCAAATTTATGATTGGTAAGTGGCAGATCTAGAGGCAGTTGTACAAAAAACTAGCCAACTACCCTGAACATCAATCAGTGGATCATAAAGCAATTCTCTCCCAGAAAATAACACCTATGGAACCCACATAATAAAGTACCATAAAAAGGGAGGAGAGTGTATATTCTGTGTGTACATGTATCCAAGCAGAACAAAGGGGTACTATTAACAACAGAATCAACAGCATGGTTTGAATCATGATTCATGACATCCCATGCCCAAGGACAAATCCTCTAACTCATATTAGATTAGTCCCCTTATTATAACAAATAAAGCATTGTACTATTACTATTATTATTGAATAATTCTTTTTTGCTTTCCTTGTAAAACAAGACTACAGCATAAACTGAGGTTTGACTGGTATGAAGTACTAAGAATGAAATTACCAGTTTGATTTAATTCAACAAAGAAATTTTTCTGAATGAATCAAACCATAACTTACCCGGATGGCACAGAAGTAACACATGCACTCCTCCTATTGGATTAAGTTGCTTTTCAACCTCCACAGCATGTTCAAGGCAAAATATATGCAACCGAGAAGAATCATTATCAGTTCTCTGCATGAGTGAAATGGCTTTGCTCTTTACTGATGTCTCAGCATCATTTGACTTCATTCTTTCAGATTCTATATTATCCATCTTACCATCACAATGATGGACTTCAGTAAATTTACTTGCCACCCTCCTAGAAACTACCAGTGGATCCCTGTATGTGTCGTCTAAATCATTTGATTCCAAAGTTACTAAGCTCCTTGTATCACTCTTAAGTGAGGTATCAAAATTTTTTTTATGCTGATTTTTCAAATTAGTACTTGGATGTCCAGGAGTGCTGTCTGAAGCATAAACTTGTACAGAAACTTCACTTGCATAACTCACTGTTGATGAAGGGCAAGAAAGAGTGCTGGGTGCTCCATCTTTATGGGTTGAAGCATGCACTAAAGACAACTTAGAACTATTGCACAAGGATGTGTGTTCAGATGAAAGAACTGAATGTGTAGATCTACATTGTGATGAAGAGTCTTTCAAATCATCTTCATCAGAAAACACAGACAACTCAGGTTTATCCTGATCCTCCTCTGAATCTGATGAATTTCCGTAAGCGAAGGCTAATAAATCAAGGGAGGAAATACCCGTCTTTGTTTTGGTATCTGAAGTAACTTCAACGCTTTGACCTGCCACCTGGAATTGGTAATCACCAGATTGGACTGGGACATCATAAAGACCATCCCTAACACATTTCTCCATTCCTGTGTAAGCACAAGTAAGCTCAGGATTAACATCTGCACTAAGCAATGTAAGAGCATCTTTTTTTTTTTTTTTTTTGAGAAAAAGGTGAGTTTCATTCAATCAAAGGGTGGTAGAGGGGATGCTGATGTAAACATAGAGAACTTCATAGACAAGATTTAGAAAACCAAAATCGCTGCAAGAAAGAAAACAAGTATCTGGATTCCAGGTATAATTCAGCTGTTTGAGTCAATGGATAGATATTCAAAAAAGCAGACAGATGTATCCATGTGCACCGCATCTATATCTTTTAAATCAATTAAAATTCATCTATATGTCACAAACCTGTACTTTTTTAACATGAAATACATCCACTATATTAATGGTTTTTCTTATTTTCTGATAACATAAAGGCTGCTAGAAAAAAGAGAATGGAAAACAACCCCATGAAGAACGCCCTCTACAAGTGGTCCAAATATTCAAAAAGGCTAAATCTGGGCTTTGGGAACACAGGGTCTGAGATGGATCCGGGGCCCCATAACTTCCCACTTATCCATGTAAAAGCATCTGGACCCACCATTGGATGCATCCTACCAGCTGTATCAACTATCTGGAATATTGCATTATTAGGCTAACCACTGGATGGGCCATGACACAAAATTATAGACCAGGAATATAATAGCCATCCAACATCATGTTTGTTACCCAGTTCTATGCCTTGAGCAGAACAGTATATCCCTTGGATAGAGAAAATCTAAACTGGCCCATCCACCATCCAACAAGTGCCCCAAATTTGGATAACCAGACTGATAAGTAGGTGTACTTTATATGCACAATAATAGATGAAAGAACAAGCAAAGTTTTGTTGTTCAAGGACAACACAGGAAGTATTCCATCCTCAGGACAATTTAAGGTCATTCAGAAGTGCTGCATTGACATGGAAACAGGAGTCAGAATCCGATATGTGTCTAAGAAGTCTGACTTGGCAAGATGAAAGCATGGTCTGACTAACACATCTTTGGAAAGTATATACTATTAAAGTAGTTAATATTTTTTTTGAATTCTAACATTATATACCTTCATAAAAAGGTCTAAAAGGTCGCCTTTATTACCAAGTAATTTTTTATATGAAGAATGGCATTCATTTAGCTCTATTTGTTAATGCAACTTCACCTGCACTGGTACAAATGCATGGGATACAAAACAAAAGAGTAATTTCTGGTTCACTTTTGCTTCATGTTTTACTTTGCTTTAGGTTTTTCATTTTACTTCATTTACACTGCAAAGTATAAGCAAACAAAACGAAGTAAAATTTAAAACAAAAATGAATCACAATTTGCATTCAGCTCATTTGTGCTCCCATACTTTTGTACAGGTACAAATGAAATTGCATTGCAAACAAACTAGGCCTTGGCTGTTCATTTATGTTAAATATGCTAGGAGACAAAAAGGAAATGTTATGTACAAGTGTCCCCAAGTATCTGTTGAATGTCAGACTCCACAATGTCCAACACGGTCACATCATCCATTTAGGAGATTTCATGCAGCACTGTCATTCAGATGCATGATTTTATGGAAAGTGAGTATCGAACAGTTATAGCCTACCTGAACAGGAATTCAGCTTAGCTGTACCTGCATCTCCATCTAAAACAGTATATCTGTCAGTAGCTACTCCAGAACCAACAATCCAATCATTAAAGAAGCTGCAATCAGCTGAAACAAGATATCGAGCAGCTGCTTCACTAGGTTGAATGATAGCTGTACATGCAAAGCTCAATATCCCACACACGACACATGAAAACAGTCCCTGATCTAATAACCCATCACCAGCATTATACACTCTTTCAGTCTGTAAGTTATGCATTTCCGTAGTAGAAGTGCAAAAATAATCAGCTCCACATAATGTGGGAACACTTTTCCTTTCATACACAGATGAAGTTTTTCTTTTCACTGAAGAGAATCCACTCAAATTCCTTAGATGTGTATTCCTGTCTAGCACCATATCATCTGAAAGTAAAATTTTTGAAGCTTCCATCTCTTCTTTGGGACTGTGTAAACCAAGTGATAACCTGGGGTTTACCTTTCTCTGAGAACCAACACGTAAATTTGAACATATAGATAGATCCAAAGAATTATGTGGAAGAAGTATGCATGAAGATCCTTTTTTGAGAAGAACGTGAATAAGGTCATTGTTCTGTACAACGTTTTGCACAAATAGCTCTTTGACCATTGTTTCTCCTTCACCTCTCCTCTTATCTTTTAGTCTAGAGCTCCGTGGTTCAGTACTAATGCTCATAGGTATCCTGGAAATTCAAACCAGGTAAAGGTTAATGTAATTAAAAGATTATCTGCAAGCTGCTTCATAATGTGTAACAGACTTATGAAATTGGGGGCTTCATCCCTTAAATGGTTTCAACTTTCAAGAAGCATGACGACATGCAGAACCTATAAATAAACAGGATTCATGGAAGCATACTGCAGAAAAAGGTTCTAGCCTTACTAGTGGCATTACTAATAAAAAATCATAAAAATCTAGAGAGAACCAGAGATACTTAAAAAAATGAAGTAAAAGTAGAGGCAAGAAAAACCAAGTTCTGTCTTCAGAATATAGCTTCCATGGTCAAGATAATTGGATTAGCATGAACAATGATAAGAATTTTTTGCTAGTTATTCAGAAGTAAGCTCTTTGAGGCATATAATCAACTCTTGAGAAACACATAGCAAAAATGTAATGTTGGAACATAACCAAAAGAGACCCATCAATTGTTTATACAAACACCAATACCAAGGAGCCGCATATTCAACCATATATTACATGGTTGCTAGTTCAAATGTCAGAATCACATAAAGGTGTCAGACTTGGCAAGCCCAAAAAATAGGATCAGAGATTCAGCTCCTACACTTTAGACTTAAGTTACACTTATAAAGGTTTATCTTTTATAATACTGGAATACTTGCTAACAGCAAATAAAAAGATAATGAAGAAGCATAAATTAGTGCAAACAACACTAGAGCAGATAATTATCAATAACACTAAATTTAGGAGCATTGCTTGGTGCAATGGAAAAATCTTGGGCTGACAAACATGAGAATGTCGGGTTAAGTCTGAGAGTGGCCACTTTGTGGGAAAAAAAGCCAAAGGTTAGAACTAGAACAACACTAAAGCAAACAAATATCAATTATACTAAACTTAGGGGCCTTTTTTTCTGAGAGAAGTTAACTGATTTCATTGAAAGAAAGAGAGGGTACACAAGAAGGTGTACAAGTACAAAACAGGGGTCAGACCCCTAAAGATTACACAGGTGGAATTTTGTCACAATACAAGGTCTCTAAAATAGCACCTAGTTTTGCTAATCCATCTGCAATGGCATTTAAATCCCTTGGAATCCAGAACATAGATGTATTCGTAGAAGCCAATAAGTCTCTTGCCTCTGCTAGGAAATGGCCAAGTCTCCATGGTCCAGTCTCCTGATTTCCTAACCATTTTATGGTATTTGCTGAGTCACCTTCAATAGAGAGGTTCTGAATACCCATTCTGTTGACTAAGTGAATCCCTGTAAGAGCAGCTAACACTTCTGCCTTTGTAGAGTCAGCTATACCAATCGGTCCACTGTACACCCAGTAGATGAACCCATTTTTGTCTCTCAAAGTTCCCCCTATGCCAGTGACTCCAGGGCTACCTGAAGCACTTCCATTAAAACTTAGAGTCCAAGACCCTTCCCTTCTTAGTGATGGAACCCTGGGGGTGTGTGGGATGGAAGGAGAGGAGAACAGAAAGTTAACAGCATTCCTGTGTGGGATGGAAGCAATGGCCCCTTGCTTGGTTCAATGGTAAAACCTTGGGATGACAAGCATTAGAGCAGAGGTTAAAGTCTGGGAGTAGCCACTTTATGAAAGAAAAGGCCAAAGGTTAGGTCCATATCCAATATACCTCTCCCAAGACCTCGGATAGCTGGAGCTTTTATTGGGTAACAGTCCTTGTTCTATTTAGTATATGAATTTACTATTCCTGTCTAAATTTTATCCTAAGAATTAGAGGATCTATAGTTACATATTACAGATTTGACAATTAGAAGGGTTCCCCCAAGTGTCATGTTGCTGTTGACGTTCAAATGAGTCCAATGCATGTGTGACACCCATTTTGAAGTGTCATGTTGCATAAGTGTCCCCTCTCCCCTTCACACCTGCCAGGTTTCAGCTCAAGGATGTGTGCCATGAGCAGAGAACTTTTTTTTAATGAAACCATGAGCAGAGAACCCATTCTCATATTTTCAAATAAACTTAAAAATAGAAATCAGCAGACATCATGCACATTGGCAAAACCTAATGCATGATATTATATGGAGCTCATGTGGACAAGGGAACTGTTTGGCAGATAAAGAGCTTTCCTATTATTTATTATTATTTTTATTTTTACGAAGAGATTTCCTATTAACGTAGTTAGGATTGTCACCTTGGCCACACGCACACAGGGGGAAAGAGGAAAGAATATTCTATTTCCTTTAAATCAAAGCTTATCAGGGTCAAGTCGTGCATTCTTTTTCCACAAAATTATCAACAATTGCCAAATTAAACTTTGGAGTGGATAAATTTTCATTAACAGACATTTCAATGTGTAACTTCACCCTTTTGTAAAACAAATTTCATTGGAGCATTTGCAGTTCTGTTTTCTGAATAGCCACTACTGCTACTGCTTTTTTCAAGTGTGACCAAGTTCAAGATGGCATAATGGGTAGGAAACTAGGACATAAATAGAGGAACTTTTACTACTAAAATTATAATGAAAGATTGCCACAAAACATTCAGACAACAAACCTTGAACATAATGCTAGTGCAAGAGAATAGAGTAACTGAAAATGAGACACCATGGGAGGATAATTGATTGAAGCCCTGCGGATTGCAGCTTCTTTTGCAACCCTCAACCATTCAGGAGTGGCAATATTTGCTGCTTCTCCACAATTAAATCCTGCAAGGAAAATCAAATGAAGGAATAAGTATTGCAAGCAGAACAAAAGTTTTACTTTGTTATGGCGAGGATAGAACCAGTTCTGGGAAACATAGAAAGGTAACACCCTCCATCATTAGGTAATCCACAGTTGCTAGGGCTGTAATTGGGTTAATTTCAAATTGGATCCAGTCACATCTGAATCCAATCTTGTATTAAAAATTCAAATCCAAACCCGATTTGAAATCCAATATATCTGGCTCAAATTTAAACCAGATCTGCTTTATTGTGTTTAAAACAAAGAAAGTTTTAAAAAGTTATAAAAAAAACTTATCACTTTTAACTTATACATATATATAATAAATTTATATAAATATAAAATATTAAACTAATTAATTATAAAATTTATATAATTATTATACATGTAAAATAAAATTTAATCAGACAGAAATCTTAATTGGATCATATGGGGCCAAATCCACATTCAATCTGATTATTAAATGGATGCAAGGTCTAGGATCTAAATCCAAAATAAACAGATTGGATGTCAGATTGAGTTTTGAACTTTTGGAGTTCATTTACAGCCCTAATGGTTGTAGCTTGGCTCAGGCCCAACTGAAACTTCACCCATCTTTTTTTTTTTTTTTTTGAGAGAGAGAGGGAGAAGTTAACTTATTTCATTGAAAGAAACAGAGGGTACACAAGAAGGTGTACAAGTACAAAACAGGAGTCAGACCCCTAAAGATTACACAGGTGGAATTTTGTCACAATACAAGGTTCTAAAATAGCACCTAGTTTTTCTAATCCATCTGCAATGGCATTTAAATCCCTTGGAATCCAGAACAGAGATGTGTTCGTAGAAACCAATAAGTCTCTTGCCTCTGCTAGGAAATGGCTAAGTCTCTATGGTCCAGTCTTCTGCTTCCTAACCATTTTATGGTATTTGCTGAGTCACCTTCAATAGAGAGGTGGGCATGTTGACTAAGCGAATCCCTGTAAGAGCAGCTAACATTTCTGCATTTGTAGAGTCAGCTATACCAATCGGTCCACTGTACACCCAGCAGATGAACCCATTTTCATCTCTCAAAGTTCCCCCTATGCCAGTTAGGGCTGTCAATTGGACTGGATTTGGTCCAATGCGGTCCAATCCAGTATTGGTCCATTTACAAATGAACTGGACCAAATCCAGTCCAAATCCTTACAAACCAAGTCCAATCCAGTCCAAATAAAATGCAAATGGACTGGATTGGGTCCAACCCAATCCAAATTGAATCAAACACCAAAATAACATGACAAATCCAAAAAATATATGAAAAACTACAACACTTGCTACATTCTAATCCCGTCCAATTAAAATGCAAACGGACCAGATTGGGTCCAATCCAATCCAAAGTAGATGAATAAAAGTACTTTAACAAAAGTTCTTTCATAAAAGAACATTCGTAAAAATGCTTTTGTAAAAGTGCTTTCATAAATGTACTTTAATAAAAGTTATTTCGTAAAAATGTTTTTGCAAAAGTACTTTTATAAAAGTGCTTTTATAAAAGTACTTTTATAAAAAGGTGCTTAATGGTCCAAATCAAAATCATTTTGGATGGATTGGATGAACCAACACGACATATTGATCTGGACTAGTCCAAACTTAATGGTCCAAAGTATTTATTGGATTGGATTGGACCTGGTCGATCGGTAATGGATTTATAGTGGACTGAATTGGATTGAACCAAAATATCCGGTCCATTTATAGAAGAAAAGAATATAGGTGTCAATGGACCAAGTTTAGGTTGGAATTGATCTAGATTAAAATCAATTTGAACAGATTGGACAGTTCAAGCATTGAATTGGACCAATCCAAAATGGTCCAAAATGACTCATATATTGGACCGGATTGGGTTTGGACCAAATCTGATCCAATTGACACTACTAACAAATAATAGAAAATACAAAAAATAAGAGAGAGAGAGAGAGAGATCTAAAAAGGAAAGTGGATAAAAACAAGAACATTCAAATTGGACCAGATTTGGTCCGATCTGATCCAATCTAACATAGGTCCATTCACAAATGAATTGGACCCAATCCAATCCAAATCCATACGTACCAAGTCCAAACTGGTCCAATTGAAATGCAAATGGACCAAATCGGGTCCAATCCAGTCCAAATTGAATGAAATTTCAAAAATTACATGAAAACCCAAGAAATTATAAAAATATATAACAAATTCACAAGATATAAAAGTGCAGAAATATGGCGGCAAAAGATACAAATAGTTTATCCAAACAAAAATACAAGTATTAATAAAAACAGCAAAATTGCAAAAACAAAATAATGAAAAACACAAAAATGATATAAACTTGGAGGAAAAAAGGAAAATGATAAAATTAAGAAAACATTGTTTTAAAATGTAGAAATTGAAAGAAATACCTAAATTGAAAAAATAAATAAAATGATTACATTTCAACACAAAACTTGTGGAAGAATAAAAAATGACAAAATTCAAAAAAAAGTAATTTTCAAATAAGAAAATAAAAATGTATAAAAACACAGAAAAGCATAAATTATAGAAAATGGAAAACAGAAATTAAAAATTGTAAAAAATTATAGAAGTTGCAAAAAAATACAAAAAGGAAAAAAAGAACAAAAATTATAAGAAATTTCATAAAAATAATAGAAATTATAAAAAACAACAAAAAAATATAGAAAAACAAAAATTGCAAATAAAAATACACGAAATTGTATAAATTGCAAAAAAAAAATGCAAATGGAGTTCTACAATGGTGGAAACACCAGAGAACTGATTGAGAAATGGTGCCTTGTGAGAAGGCTAGGGAGAACATAGATTCAGGTTTGCACCAGATCTTGAACCTCCATTGCCAGCTGTCACTGCAACTATGAAAAGAACAAACAAAATAGGGTAAATTACAAAGACCCCCCTTGTACTATGGGGTCTGTGACAAAGACCCCCCTGTACTTTATTTTGCGACAAAGACCCCCCTGCACTATGACCATGAGACAAAGACCCCCTTCCGTTAGCCTTCCGTCCAAAAAGGCCGTTATAATATTTTTTAATTCCCATATTACCCTCGTAATAACTATTCAGACAAGGGAGAAAAGCACTTTCATCTTCCCCGACCTCACGATACACGAACAATAGCGGTGATAATCCCCTTTACTTCAAATTCCTTCACATTTCTCTCTCCCTCTCTCTCCTCTCTCTCTCTCCCCCGATCTCTCTTCTTCCCCTTCTCCATCATCTACCACCACAGCAATGTCACCATTCTGCATGCCATTTGCATCAATAATATCCAAGTCCTCACCCCAATCACCATCAGCAGCCTCTTCATCATCTTCCTCTACACCCCTCCCTGCATTATCCAGCCCACCCTCAAAGATACCTTTCATAACCCTCAACAAGGGCCAATCTCCTCCACAGAGAATAGGTGATGGAGGCATCAGACGCAATAGTACTCTCCCCTCTGGCAAGATTGGAACATTATCTCCCAATTCAGCTGCAAGATGTTCAGCAACATCCTGGAGACCATGGACAGCAGCAGTAACATATGGAAGGGGCAAACGGCCAGCATTCTCCAAAATCTTGACACGCTCCTTGACATCACCCAAGTACAGGGCATTATGAAATTGGCCCATCACATCATTTACGTTTTCCTTTTCCAACTTGTTGTTTCTTTATATTACCTTTTTTCACCTCCATCTCTCTCCATCTCTGGTTGAAGTCTTGAAGACATAATCAAAAGGGTACCGGTAAACCCACTTTCCTACATTTCTTTCACTATGTTTTAGAATGTTGAAGGCGAATCTGGATTGCACTGTTGTTTTGATTTCAGTTTTTAGGTGTTTTGGGGCAATTTAGTTTTGAAAAGCTATTCTACACTGAGTTCCTAAATCTCTAGTGGAATGTTTGAAGTTTGAAGGAGAAACTTGATAATTTGATATGTAAACTTTCGATTGAGTTATTTCTTGCTTTCTTGTAGGATTCGTAAGAATTTTGGATGAGCAGAAAGCCGACTGGTAATGACTTTTTTTGAACTTTTTTTGCTTTGGCGTGCTTGATCTTTATTGTTGGTGTTTCTTTAATGGATAATATTCATTTCGTTTATTTGTTCTATTTTACTTCTGAATGGGAATGCCAGACTAGTTAGTTGGATGGCAAAAGGGCAAAACAAAGGTTAAATAGGTTTTAAGAGAAAAAGGGCAAAAAAAGAAAATAGAAAAAGTTTAGTGGGGTATTTTGGTAACTTAACGCATTCTGTCATCTGAGTTAACAGTCAAGGGGGGTCTTTGTCTCACGGTCATAGTACAGGGGGGGTCTTTGTCGCAAAACAAAGTACAGGGGGGTCTTTGTCACAGACCCCATAGTACAGGGGGGGTCTTTGTAATTTACCCAACAAAATATCATCTGTGTTCTGTAATGGCCAAAAGACCAGAGAGGCAACACAAACCCAATATCAGTCATTGGTTGTTGTTGCAGGCAATAGTGGAGCTATTGGAATTGTTGTTTGTCAATCGCCAGCCGCCGTTGCGTCTCCTTTATCTCTTTCCGTTGGTAATGAAGAAAATCTTTGCAACAGCTGAAACAAATAGTGAGTAACCGCTATTGGATGTGGGAAAAAGTGATTCCACAGCAGAGTTTGTAGAGAGTGGTTGGACGCTCCAAGGAGAGAAATACAAAGCGTCGCCATCGCCAGAGAAATAAAGGGATAGAGAAGTAGTGGCATTGGAGACATAGAAAGCACTGTCGGAGAAATACAGTGCCAACAGAGGGAATGAGAGAGAGAGAGAGAGAGAGAGAGAGAGAGAGACTGCAAGAGAGAGAGAGAGAGTGATGTTGCACAGATAGAGAGATCGAGAGTGAGACCATTTGAGCGTGGAGGCATCCCTAACTTTCGAAATGAACGATTATGAACTGGACTTGGATTCATCGGTTTTTGTCCAATTTCGGTCCGTTAGTTGTATCAGTCTATTACATTCGGACCAGTCCAACCCGACATAATTCCTTGGACCATCCAAATCAAATTCGGTTTGGATGGGGTCCAACCCAAAACCGGTCCATTGACACCCCTAATGCCAGTGGCTCCAAGGCTACCTGAGGCACTTCCGTCAAAACTTAGAGTCCAAACTCCTTCCCTTCGTAGTGATGGAACCCAGGGGGTGTGTAGGATGGAAGGAGAGGAGAACAGAAAGTTAACAACATTCCTGTTAAGATTGTTAGCATTGATTCCTTTAAACACATCTGAGTTATGCCCACAAATTGCATGATAATTGATGAAGAAAACTGAACCCAGAAATCTGAGCACAACTTACAGTTTCGAGCTTCAAACCAGAACCGAGTTGTTCCCCTTTTTCTTTTCTCTGATTCTTCCTGGCCACCGAACCACTTCTCCAAGAGATTCGAGTCTTGGGCACTTCCAATGACCTCCAAGAATCAGGCAACACGAGTTAAGCTTCCAGCCCTATTGAAGTTCAGGTATGCTCTGATACCATGAAGAAAACTGAAGAGAGGAGAGCTGAGAGTTCGGCAATGAGGGTCTGAGAATGAGAGTTTCGAACCAACTCTCTCTCAGCACCCTAACACTATTTTATTAAGATATATTTGAATAATTACAAGGAGGCCMTTAGTTGGGCAAGAATTTACAAAAAACTTAATATTGACAGGATGGGCCCAGAATAAGGCCCATTACAGAAAAAACATAAATAACAAGAAAGAATAAACAACCTATGGGAACCTATGGGCCATTCGGCCCATCTTCTCTACAGTTGATATGAGAGATCAGCTCACTCTTGGATTTAGCCTTGTTTTCAAACAGCTGATTGTTCCTTTCCTCCCAAATTCCCCATAGCACAGCATGTAACACTATTTTCCAATCTTAATAGTCAGTCTAAGCTGTTTTTTTTTTTCAATTGATGTTGGACTTGGTTTGAAAAGCCATAGCTACAAGTAAAATCAGATGCAAATCAGTGTTCTAAAGGTGCATGGTGCAAGAAAAGCACAAGGGCCTTCTAGCAATTAAGGCGCAAGGCATGCACCTTTTTTAAGCAAAGCACATTTAAAAAATAAAATAAAATAAATAGTATTGCATAAAAAATTCAAACCTGAATTTTAAAATGAATTAAATATTTTAAAAGGCCTGTTGTTTCAAATTAAAGTACATAAGCATAACATCTATAACATATTCAAACTGAAAATGTGGAAGTGAAACCAAACATATGTGGATCATATCAAAGTGCTTCAAACACTCAAACAATTCAAGCATGTTAAACTTCCAATGTGTTTATGTATTAGCTTTCCCACCTTTGTAAAATCCCCTTGAGGCAAGACCAAACAAGTTCACACTTCACGCAGGGTTTTGGGCCAGCGCCCCCAACCTAAATCCTTGGCCTGTATATATAAAGGATTAGTTTTATGATTTTAAGTACAATTCATTTTATTTTAGGATTAGGGACCAGATATTAGTTGTATTATTGTTAATTTTTTAGTGGAATCTTTGCTATTTAAAAGGTGCTGAGGCACAAGGCATACCAGGCATGCACCTTTTGAAAGGGGCTGCACCAGGGTTCAAGTGAGGCACATGCCTCAAAATGTACCTCACCTAAGGCGCATGAGGCATACCTTTTAAAACATTGATCCAGATAAGTCAACATCTTAAGCAACACTTGTGATCTTCTTCAGAAAAAAAGGCTGGGAAGGTCATATATTTCTCCTCATGCATGTGTGCTTTGCCTAAGAGAAGGGGAATCAGCAGATCACCTACTCATTCATTGCAATTTTTCTCAAAAGATTTGATGGCACTTCTTAAACCTGACTGGATACAGTTGGGTCTCGCCAAAGCATATTCAAGAGTTCCTCAATCAGTGGCACGGTTCAGGTTTGAGCAGAAGAGGTAAAGTGTATTGGCAAACTGTGTCACATGCAGTATTGTGGGGAATTTGGGAGGAAAGAAACAGGCACATATTTGACAACAAAATCAGATCTCTTGAAGAATTAATTTCAGATATCTCCTTTTATTGCAATTTTTGGACTGTTAAATCTGAGATGTTTCAAGGATTCTCTCTCAATGATCTTAACAGAAATATCCAAACAATCTTGTTTCTCCCAACCCAAAGACTACAGATATCACATATTGAAGAAGGGATGATTCTAAACTTTGATGGAAGTGCTGCAGGCAATCCAGGCAAAGCTCGGATAGGTGGTATTTTGAGGGATGAACAGGGTAATATCTGTTGGGTTTTCAGTGGCCCAATAGGTAATACAGACTCAACAAAGGCTGAAGTGATGGCAGCAGCGCTCACTGGAATCAGAATAATAAAAAGATTACGCATTCAGAAATTATCCATTGTAGGAGATTCTGCTAATACTATCAAATGGCTGAAAGATAAGGAGGGGGGTCCTTGGATGTTGAGTCATTATCTGGCTGAGGCAAGAGACTCCTTGGAAAAGTTAAATGCAAATCTGCAGTGGATACCGAGGGAGTTGAATCACATTGCAGATGGATTAGCTAAAATTGGAGCAAGTTTAGAAATTTATACAGCAACAGGCTTCCCCCCTTGTAATTTTGCTTTTCAGCTGTTTAAGTTCTCTTTCCTCTGTGTAGTACATATGCTCATGTACTTCCTGCTTTTTATCTAATGAAATCTGGTTAACTTTTTCTCAAAAAAAAAAAAAAAAACATCTTAAGCAACCCAACTCACTATTTAGCTGCCCTGTTTTGTTCTTTTTTCTTTTCTTTTCTTTTTTTTTTTTGTTTTTGAAAGAAGATAACCAAATTTTCATTAAACATAAAAGGAGGTACATGATAAGATGTGCATCTGAAAACAGCACAACTAAAGTCACTGATTACATAGACAAATCTCTGTTTCTATACAAAGTATCCTTCAGAGTCCCTGACTTAGCTCAACTATCAGCCAGAGCATTTAAATCTCTGGGAATCCAAAGTAATGTCACAGTCGTTAAGTCCATTTGTTCATATATTTAAAATATGCAAAAGTAGAAGAATGAAGAAAACCTCAGGTTTTCATTAAAATGCTATCCAACTCAACTTAGGTTCTGATGTTTCTAGCAATTTTCATTAAAATATTTTGCATGCATTAATATTGGCAACTTGACCACCTG